TATTGAGAAAGATGATCATAATATTTTAAAAAAATTATATTTTTTTATATAATTAACTAATTTATCTAATTTTTTAAATTTAATCAAATTAATTAATTGAGTTTTATATTATAAATGGGAGGGGCACATACACACCTTGCACAGCTGTGTTAGGAAGAATTTAAGATATTTGATGAATCCTTTATTCGATAGTCATATTCATCCTGGTTAAGAACTTTCACTTCAAAATATTATTGTCATATCCAAACACACCATTAAGCTTGAACCTTGAGCCAAAAGTGAATGATCATTGATATTTAATGTGACCATCCGAATATATTTTACAAATAAATATATATAGTTCCTAACCATATGTTATAGAGTCAATCAAATACAATTAAAATAAGTTTCTCCATTTGCCCCTATATTAATTAATTTATCTTTTTGGGCCTTATATAGGTCAATGGTATGACCTATACTCTCTTTGAAAGTTGCATATTGGCTTTTCCTTTTGTTTTATGTAGTGACATCCTTATTTCATTTTGGTCGAGCATTTTTTTTAAATATCAGGATTACATAAGCACATAATTAATTAAATTATAAGCAGTGGTTATTTAATCATATAATTTCCTATATATTATAAATAATTGTGGTGAGAATAAGCACATCAATTCAAGTCATTACTGCGCACCATGTATATACTATAGAAGATGAATGTATTAAATTATTCGTATCTATATTCCATATAAATTTTTTAAAAATGAAAATTCAAAAGCACAGAACTACAGGGGGTTTGAGTAATTTTTTCCATAGATAAATTTTCATTAATTGTAAGTAACAAAATGACAGAAGATAGCATTATTGAATGGTAAATAACATTGATACCAACATGTCTGTTTGAATTTTCAATATGGATATGAACATTTAAAGCACCCAAAAACATATTTGAATCGCGTTTTTTTTTTTAACCATATTAGAATTCAATGCACGTTATTGAACTATGATATAAATCTGAGGTTTTATCTTAAAAAATTATTTTGCATGTACCTATAATTTTTCTTAATTTTTAATTTGGTAATTAAATCTTTCCTCTTTATTACATGTTTTGACTTTTCTCTGTGAGCATTGTTAGTCCTGTAACCTTGCTATATTAGCATTGTTAGCCACTGGCTAATGATGCTAACAGAGTAAAATTAAAAGATTTAACAAAAAACATACTTGTCAAGTTAAAAATTTGAGAAAAAAAATATAACTACCTACAAAATATTTTTTTTCCCCTCCTTTCACTTCCTTTGATCCTAAAGGTGGACTTAAATAATTAATTTATACAAATTAGTGATAAAAAAATTAATAATCGTTTATAATGTAAACTATCCCATATGAGAACCCTTTTTTGGGCATGTATAAAGTGGATTATATTGCGACCAAAACAAATATCTCAATTAAGTTATAGATTGAGAAGGAGTGAGGTGTTTCACTTATAAGACCAGATCAAAGTCATGCAAATATGATGGATTATTTTGTGAAATATGATTAAATAATTGCCAGCCATGTCTCCTACCAGAAGAAGGGGAAATAAAAGCTGGAACGGTCTGAAAATGATGTTAAACGGAAAAAGCTCAATTTAGAGCAACAAACATATAACACGACATCCTTGTTAATGGTCACTTTAATTTTCTTCTTGTTTTGGTTTTGTGACTTCATATGTTATTTTGCTTCTTCCTTCATCAGAAAGATATGATTTTGACTAATTCTGTGAGATCAAAAAAGAAGAAGAAGAAGAAGCCCTAGTTTAGGATTCATAAACCAAACATGCATCATGTAACAACATGGAGAGAAATTAAAGAAAGAAAGACGACAACAATCACTTCACGCAATTAGTAAAACAAAAGTTCTTTTCTGTGTTGTTACCTTCCTCCCCACTTTCATTTCTTGTTTTTGTTTCTGATTTGATGTCTTGTTATACAAATTTCATTTTCATTGAAGCTTATATGGGGATGAAAAATTTAGTTCATTATATTCTTTAATTAGTACATATAAGGAAATTTAAGTGTCAATATCAATATCTCTGTTCATGTATAATATGTAAAAACTCTAACAAGTTATAAAATTTGTGAATCTTTAGATTATGATTCATTGGCCAATCTTTTCTTTTTAATAATTGGGATAAGGAGTGTTCTCTATTGAAATAGAGACTAATTCCTTTCAAAACACTAGGGACAAAGGGTAACGTCTTTTTTAAGCAAGTTTGCTTTTTATACAAGTGTTAATCATATCCTTAATTGTTTTCTTTTAAGAAACAAAAGCGCTTTCTATTCATGTCAAATTAAATTGGAAATAAATCCTTGTTGAGAAATTAATTGACAAAATGGTTTTTGTGTAACATAACTTTTCTTGTGCATGATCCTTTTTTTTTTTTTTTTCCGGGTAGGCAATAATCTTTTATGAGATATTTTCATTTTGTACAGCCGAACTTCTCTTATAACTTAATTTTGTGTAAATTAGTTCTTCAAATTTAAGTAACATTTTGTGTAAATCATTTTCTTTCTATATAACTTAATTTTCTTTGTGTACAACTTATCTTCCTTCTTCTAATTTATTATCCTCGGGCCATTTGCTAATTGATTTTTCAACGAGTGATTTATCTTCAGTTTTTCTTAAATTTTAAATATTTTTCATTATTTTATAAATGCAGATTTTTTAACATATTTTTATTCATCCCGTGCGTGCACGCACGGGCAACATCTTCTGGCTACCACGGATGAGAACTTTTTTGGTTTTTTTTGTTTTGGGAAAAGTTTTTTTTAAAAAAAAAAGAGTCGTTAATTATTTATAGGACTGGAATGCCGTTAGCTGCTCCCAGACCCTGAAGTTGGCTGTTGAGCTTGTAAGGATTAATCCAAGACTTTGTCTCCCTCTCCCGCTGATCCCTTCACCGTCGGCCGACATGATCTGACAGAAAATGAAGAACCTGGGATCTGTTTCATTTTCTTCTCCATTTATAATTATCTCCTTCCATTTGCTTCTTCTTTCTCTGCACCCAAACCACATACAAGGATCAGATACTGTAATACAGCTTCCACGTTCCGGGTCGGTCTCTGCCCGCTGCAGTCTTAAACGGGTCCTCTCTGTAGCTCAGTATGGGGCAGAAGGGGATGGCCACCATAATGACACCAAGGTAATATTAGTTTCGTTAACTTTACCTTTCTATATTTTGCTATTCGCTTCTGAAACAGTGCCCTTTCTTTAAATAAGGTTTTTCATTTTTTGCTTACGAGGGCCTCAACTTTTGAGGTTTCATACTTTGGGGGCGACAACATTAGTACCCATGAGTTAACAGAATGTATTCTTTAGCCGTAAATCCTGTAACCAAGTAAGGTTTCTTGGAGAATCTACTGCTAAAGTAAGGTTTTCTGAGAATCTACTATTGCTACATGAATATGTGGGATTGCATATCAATTTGCTTAAATACTTAACTGCAAGTTTTACCCAAAGAAAGTATGAGAGATTCTTGGGAAAACTTGTTCTAAAAAGAATAAGCATAATCAATTATGAAGGGATATATAAGCATGGCAAAAGGTGATTTTTGCTTGTTTTGAGGTCTCTCTTCACGTGGTGTGAACCACAGTTATATTTTGTTGACGAATCTACCTAAGAGGTTTTCAAGAGATAGCTAACTGATTTTCCTGCTGTTGAATTTTCTTACCTGTTGGCAATAAGTGAGAAATCTAAGAAAACTCATCTGATAAAATGAGGTAAAATTTTGCATTTGCTAACTCGGCGTTCAGGCATCATCATATTATTAAACCATTTCTTAACATCTTTTGTTCCCCTTTTCTTTTATCAGGCAGTGGAAGAAGTCTGGAAAACTGCTTGTGCCATGTCTGGACGAATAACTATCCTGTTCCCACCTGAAAAGGAGTTTCTGATTTATCCAATTGATATGGGAGGGCCTTGCAGATCTAAGATCACTTTAAAAGTATGCATAGAAAATTACATCTATTTAGACATTCAAGTTCAATTCCAGGAACTCTATCTTTCAATGACCTTTGTTGAATATTGGAAAGATCTTAGGTACAATATCTGCCCCAAAAGATCCTGAAGTCTGGGATGGTTTAAATCCGCGAAAATGGCTTTACTTCCACGGCTTGAAATATCTCACTCTAGAAGGTAAAGGAAAAATCAATGGAATGGGACAGAAATGGTGGGACAGATCTTGCAAGACCAAGCCATCAAATGTACGTCTACCTTCCTATTTTAAGATTCATGTCCCTTTTTTTCAAAACAAAATTCGAATGTTGTGAGTATAGAGCTTTTAAGTGACTCCAAATTTCCTTTGGCAGCCATGTCGACCTGCTCCAACGGTGAGTGCTGCCCCAACGCTTTCCATTTGATAATCTGTTCATCAGATGAATATAAATCTATATTTACACTGCAGGCAATCACTTTTTATAAATGCAAGAATCTGAAGGTTGGAGAACTTACGATCCTAAATAGCCAACAAATGCACATGGCATTTAATAACTGTATGAGAGTTGTTGCATCAAAGCTTGCTGTTTTGGCTCCGGCTTCCAGCCCTAACACTGATGGAATCCACATTAGTAGAACAAAGGGTATAGAGGTCAAGGACAGCTTAATTAGAACAGGTGTGCTATAATCTTTAGAAAAGTTCGACATTAGCTTTATATCACATAAATATTGTTCTTCATCCTCGTGAGCTGGTATTTTCCTGAGAAGTCTTTGCTGCTTAAATAACTGGTTGAATATGACATGCTTGTCAACTTCTGCATACTTTTTCAGTATTTGATGCATAGCTTTTTCTAACTTCTAAACCATCTGTTTCAAATTTAAGCAGTTAACTGTTCTTCCATGTTTCTGTCCGAGAGATGAAAGAGCGGCAAGAAAATAATCACACAAATGCAAAATGAACAATAAATAACCAAATAACACCATGTTTATCCGTAACCAGTAATGAAATCGGGGAAAATTATATATCATCATCATCATGGTTAATGTCAGGAGACGATTGTATCTCGATAGTAAGAAACTCGTCACAGATAAAGATCAGAAACATTTCTTGTGGTCCAGGCCATGGCATCAGGTGAAAGTCTTTTTCCCCCCCCTCAATTGACTATGCTTTTAGACATTAAGAAGCAAGAACATGTTAAGTAATACCAAAACCTGATCTTCAGCATTGGGAGCTTAGGAAAAAATGGATCATGGGAGAAGGTAGAAAACGTAATGGTTAGTGAATCTTATCTTTATCAAACTGATAATGGAGTGAGGATCAAAACATGGCAGGTAAGACTTCTTTACAAGATTGAAGCACTTTCCATTTCTTCTGTCATGCAGAGATGCACATGCTAATCAACTTGTGTGATTTCTTCGCTAGGGTGGTGATGGTTTTGCTTCCAAGATCACTTTCAAGAATATTGTGATGGAGAATGTGTCAAACCCAATTATAATAGACCAGTTTTACTGCGATTCCCCCCATCCTTGTCGGAACCAGGTATAAAAATTTTCCCTGGTAACATTTTCAGGCGTTAGCCTGCCACAGTGTTTTGTCACATTACTAATTAATTTTTCTGTTGGCCGATCCCAGCTCATAGTACACACTTATTTTCAGCCTCCAAGAAAGATTGCCCTTCATTTCTCTTCAAGATTCAGATAAATAAATGTTCATAATTTTCCTTTGATACTGCTTTGGAACGTGAAGTTTTGTATCAAATCATATGTTAACATCCATTATTTTAACGAAATACAGACCTCAGCTGTCAAGGTGGAGAATATATCCTTCATTGGTATCAGAGGAACTTCAGCAACAGAGGAAGCTATAAAATTTGCTTGCAGTGATGACTCTCCTTGTGAAAGGTTATACCTGGAAGATATTTATCTCACACTAGGCTTTGGAGGAAACATAAGATCATACTGCTGGCAAGCTCATGGTTATACAAATGGTCGGGTTTACCCTCCTCATTGTTTTCCAGAGACCGGTAATTTTCTCAGTGCGCAGAAAATCTTGGAAGAATTGGACTCTTATTCCATATACCTGAGCAAACCCACTCTGTAAAGAAAATATGATTATATAGTATATGGATGCCTTTTCTGTAACCAGTTTACCAGTAACAAATTCCAGGTGATTGGGGAGGTGCAGTTTAATTCTTCCTCTTGAGTGGTCGAAGAATTCTCAGGCATACCAAGTAAACTTAGCTCATTACAAATCAACAATAAATATGTAATTATGGTAAAGGTAAATTTTTTTTTTTTTTAAATTCAAACCGTGTCTGATATTCTTACAATTCTATTGATGATTGGCCTATGAGAGTCCAAATTTACACGTCAGCTGAAGCATCCAAGTTTATTGAAAGTACTGTACGAAGAAGATATGTCCAATAGAGAATCTGCTGATTAGAGTTCGTAGATCATCGTAAAATCATCTGCACGTGTTGCTTTACTAGCGGCCACGCAGAGAGGACAACCTATTCTTGTTAGCAATAGGACTGGAACTTGGAATCTCCAAAATAGCATATAAAATTAACATTGCTCAGCCATTTTAAGTGCCTCTGAAGACTCTGAATTGTAATTCCAAATAAGCCTTAACATTGAACCTTACCTGAAGGGAATTAAACTGAAAAGGTAGATATTATTTAAAAAAATGTTATGAGAACATAATACAACAAAACTTAAGGGGCTCTCCCCATGCTCAAATTGAGACAGCAGCACTCAATCATATGGAAGTTACGAGAACATAATACAACAAAACTTACAGGGCTTTCCCCATGCTCAAATTGAGACAGCATTCAATCATATAGATGATATACTTCAATTTGGACTCACGAATCCTCACTAACATTCATAAGAAACCAGTTTTGATGCTCTAGCAAAAAGTGGAAGGCAGCATCAAAACCCGGGATCAGCGAGGACCTAGTTTTGGGCAGCCCTGGGCCAGAGGCAAGTCCAAGTTTTCTACCGTTCTAAAAGTCTTAGGAACCATTTTATCAACATAGAGGGTTCCATCAAGATGATCACACTCATGCTGTAATATTCGAGCCTGCCAGCCGGAAGCATTTATTTTGATGAGTTTTCCATTACGATCCAGACCTGTGACCTCAACATCAAGGTATCGCTCCACCGCTGCTCTAAATCCATCTACACTGCAGAATATCAATAAGGAGGAAGATGTTAATAACTATGGATAACAATGAATACATGTTGTTACACACCTCATTGCCACATCAAACCCAAAGCACTATACAGGCTAGAATTATTATATTGAGAAACTGTGACCCACATCAAGAATGCGGTCAATTCTTTTTTACCTCTATCATATTGCGACTGAATTGAACTTGAGAAGATAACCCAATAGACAGTATCTAATCCCACCATGTTGCAATTGCGAATCCCCTATAATTAATTGCAGCCATGTTTACTCTTCAAATTGATAAATCAGAAATCAAATGCTTAAACATTTGCTCAGTACTTCGCTACAAAGCATTTGGATGTTGGACACAAAATACATTTACACCAAACTTGAGTATAGATGATATTGTATTTAGTGATTAGAACGTTCTTAAGATCCCAACATCTTGACATCGTCAGAGCATATGCGAATAGTCATCTTTAACTTGTTTACATATAATTAATAATACTACGGTGGATTTGTACAAAAATACTGAGATTGTTCGATAATTAGAGATTAAGGAATAAATCAGGATTTGATATTTCCTTGAACCGGTGTTAAATTAGCTACTTAACAATACACTCAAAATTTCAAGGGTTTAGACCAGGAAATGCATCAAATTGCAACCAAATTAGGGCCACAAACAAATTTAAAAACCAAACTTACTATTGTAAAATTTTTATGAAATTGGATTTTTCTTTTTTATTTCTTTCTTCTTGTTTTTTTTTGGGGGAAAATTTCTACCAATATTCTCTTTGCCACATCCCACCCCACATCTGAAGAATAATAGACTGCTCTCTCAACAAGAAGCCCTCAATTTGATCAATTGCTCCTTAAGCCTAAAAGATTCTTCTTTGGTTCACCAGACATACTGCTGTCTGTTACTCTCTACTCTTTCTTTTAACTAGTTTTCTTTTTTCCACTTCAAGAGGCATTGAAATTACAATATGTCATGGGCATATATATAAAATCCATTAGATATACCCCTAAACCATCAGAGCCATCCCCCACCCGAGAATAAAACCAAAAAAAAAAAAAAAAAATCTCAGCAGCTCTAGGGTTTGACAACCTTCCTCTTAACCATTAAGAACAATTATTATTTTCAACCACATCAACTATAAACCAAATGCTTAAATGAAGGACCGCCATTACTTATGAAAGAACACCACATCCACATTCTTGACAGTTCATTTAAATGTTCAAGTATCGTACATTTATGCAGGATGCTCAAGAACTCATATTGAAGAGTTATAAAAGGTGTGCATGGTCTTATATTTCTAGCCTGACTTGGTCACAGTTACTGAATTGTACCATGTGCAAAAAAGAATCAATTGGTAGTGTGCAAAGCAACTATGATGGCAGGGGAAAAAAAATCTAAAATAAGTCCTTTCCAAATAATGAGAATATTACCTCAAGCAACCTTCAAAAAATAGGGCCGTCCTGTTGCTTCTCTTCTCCAGCTTTGGATTTAGGATAACCTGCCTCAACAGAACTAATGAATTTGTATTTCAAGATAACATACCTTCAGGAAAAAAACTACAGAATTTATTGCAAGCTTTTCTCTTCTGTGGGATGGACATACCAAAAGATCAAAGGGTCGCCTATCTTGAGCTTTTATCTCTTCCTTGGGAGCATAACTAATATACTCTGTTGTATCTTCCAAAACAATTATCTGCATAAACAAAAAGGCAATACATACTTATTATTATTTCAGCACATTCCTCGGTAGTACTCAGAACAGTATGCTATTACTATAAATCACGATACTTTAGATCTTCAATATATTGTTAAGCAATAAAATTAGTCACCAATGGACTCCTCCACTACTTAGAAGTCATGTTTACATAATGAATATTGTACTTCGCATTAAGAAGCAAGTTAAGCAGCCTTTTGTCCGCCCGCCTGGCGCCTCCAGGTATTTCTGTATGTCCCATATTCATATGGTATTTTAGACCCAAAGACGGTGATTTCAATTTACAAAATTCAACAAACAACCATTAAGAAGTTCGCTTAAGTCGCTAATCAAGAGACATAAGATGAAAAGGCAACCAAGGAGAACCACCTAGACCGTCGACTATTAATGGAAACATCATGACAGAGCACCTGTGCTCAAAGAGTAAGTACACGACCAAAGAATCATATTTTAAGCACAATTTATTGTCATGGTTGTTTTCTTCCTCGTGTTGTCACGGTTGCTTTCTTCCCCATGAAACAGTTACAGTGACCCACACAGGGCAAATGAGCTGAGAATTCAGATTGCACCGAGAAGAACAAAGTCAAGAAAATTGAAGAATTTGGGGAACCTTGTGTATCTAAATCATCAAAATTTTAACTGACCCTCAAGGGAATTCCAATCTGCGGAGCCGCTAGGCCAACCCCAGGAGCCTTTCTCATGACCTTTATCATATCATCGATGATCTTCTGGATCCTCTCGGAGCTTATTTCATCAGGATTAACTTCTTGGGCAGGTTCATGGAGAACTGGGTCACCGGCTTTGACAATGTCAGGCAAGCTTAATTTTTTATCAGCTCCAAGACCCACAAACCATCCTGCTTTGGCCACCCTCCTAGGAGATGCCGAGTTGAAAGACTTCGAGGTAGTGGGGTTCCCATAGAACAGTGAATTTCCAGCTTTGAATAGTGATACTCGGGCAGGGGACAATGTCGGGGTTGTTGAAGCAGTTAGGAGGCACCTTTCAGCTAGGGGTACGGAGAGGAAACGAAATGATAGACGGTGAAGCGCCTCCATGGGCTTTCTGGGACGTGAGCTCTGCAAATTGTGCTGTTTTTTTAATCAACGACAATGGTGTGGTGCTTGGAGGGTGAAGGTCTTACCTTTTCTTTGTTTGGGCTTAACAGTGAAGGGGCCTCTTCCCTTTTCTTTTTTTTTTTTTTGTTGGTGAAAGGACAATTCATGACATGAGTTCGTTGTTGGTCTATATAGCCTATAGCTATGCCTGGGCTTCAAAAATCCAAGTCACTCACAAACAGTCAGAACGATGTGGCTACAGACCCAAAAAGAAAATCCTATCTGCATTCTCTGTGTGTGTGTGTGTGTGTGTGTGTGTGTCTTGACAAATTTGTGCATGTTTCTCCTTATGCTTCAGTTTAAACTCTATTTTTTGAAAGAAGAGACTGATTAAAAGTTTACATCTTCATTAATCTATCTAAAGAAAATAGTAGAAAAGTTACATTTTCATAAGTGACAAAAAAGTATGATTCACTTTGAACTTCATGTAAATGCATGAGGCCAAGCTTTAGTAGCCATTTCAAAATTTATACGCAAATACATGGGATTCACTTTAATTAGTCATATATGATTATTGCAATATGACACTCCCTACAATTCTAAATGCAGATAAGTAAGTAATGTATAGATATTAAAAAATAATAATTTAGTTACTTTATGTGTAATAAATATGTGTTTGTTTTCCTAAAATATACTCATTTTAATAATCTACATTAGAAACTACCCTCACTAATGAAAACTTTCTTTAATACGCATAATCAATAGTAGTTTACAGGAAAATTAAAGATTTATAAATTTTACAAAACAAAATACTGAAACTTTTTTTTTTAAATGTCTTTTTAGTTATGCATTCTAAAAACCAAAAAAAGTTAAAATTTGTTCTGAAGAACCAAAAAAAAAAGAAAAAGGAAGAGAATAAGCAAAGACCATTGTATTTCGACTATTTTCATTAATGACCATTATGCTCAGAAAACAAACTATTTTCTCACCCTTCACTTCATTTTAGATATGCTTTTCAAAATAATAGTTCAAACAAAACTTTTAAATTTTTTTATTTTCAAAACTTATTCTGAAAAATTACTTTACAGAATTACTTTAGAAACATGAAAATAGATAATAAAATCAAACAAGCCCTTATTTCCTAATTGAGTGGCAAATTTATGCCAAATAATGGTAGAAGGGGGTGGGAAACCGTACGTGTTAAAGGTTGCATAATTCCAAGGATGGGCATGCATATATAACGCATATATCCGCATTTATGTTCATATTGGTGCATGCAATGTACCTTATTTATTTACATATACATTATGCAACTCTTAAGCCGCAAGATGGGCTTCCATAATGCTCAAATAATT